GGATTCTGTGAAATGATTCGATTCCTTATGGATTCTGTGAAATTATTCGATTGCTTATGGATTCTGTGAAATGATTCGATTCCTTATGGATTCTGTGAAATTATTCGATTGCTTATGGATTCTGTGAAATGATTCGATTCCTTATCGATTCTGTGAAATTATTTGATTCCTTATCGATTCTGTGAAATTATTCGATTCCTTATTGATTCTCATATCAATTCTGTGAAATGATTCGATTCCTTATCGATTCTTTAAAATGATTTGATTCCTTATCGATTCTGTAAAATGATTCGATTCCTTATCGATTCTCTTATTGATTCTGTAAAATGATTTGATTCCTTATCGATTCCAGTATCGATTCTGTGAAATGATTCGATTCCTTATTGATTCTGTTAACAATGAACTCGGTAAGTGCACAGTGACATTCGTCTACCTTCGCCTGGGACATTCTATTTCTGCCTGCCTCTGTGAAAACAGAAGGCAGTGACCGGGAGCTGCCAGCCTCTGAGCCAGCCAGGCTACCCGTCTCATCACAGTCATCTAAATCTAATGGAGAAGGCATCCGTTTAATGAAAAGGCATTACTGTGCAATTTCGGGAAATAAACTAATCTCCCCCTGACTTAAATAAACGAGCGTCACCTTGATCTTGCTCCCTGAACTGCAGAGCAACTTCGTAGGTAGGAAATTGGTTTATTTCCAGAAATGGCATTTGATTTACTAGGAGCCACATTAAGCACAGCCAGTGATTTAAAACTAGCTACTTACCACCAGAGTTGCCTTCCATGCTGGTCGTATCACTAGCTTCTGTCCGGAAGCATCAAAAACACGGCTTTCGTTACAGTGTATGCCGTGTTGTGTGCGCAGGTGTTTCTGCTTGTTGGATGCATTTCCTCCCGTAGATGTTACTGCCACTTTACATCTAAACTTTCGATCGGCTTAACCCGATGGGACGCCATTTTTTTGTTTTGCTTTTCTAGACTTACGCCTGGTCACATCGTACTTGCTTATTGAATGCAGTGTGCGTAACTTGCGTAAGAAACATGACGTAAGTCGTACTGCCCAGCGCTAGGCTCTGGTGCTGCCTGGAACCATTAAGAGAACTGTTAAGCGAGCTGCCAAAAGGTGCCATGGAATTGGAACACGGAACAGGTTCTGAACAGGAACCGGTTTTTGATTCCCATCCCTACTTAAGCTGGTAGATTCTGTTGGGATTTTATGTGACAAATCTACAGTTTGATGCATAGCCAAAGGGGAAGTGGAAGAACAATGGATTTCAAAGAAGTTGCCTAAAGGCGTTGTATCCATAATATGTAAAAACCAATTTACTGAGGAGTTAGTCCTGAACCAGGAGTGTCTGCGATTTGAAAACCTCAGCTCCATCCGTCTTGTGTCCTTGGGCAAAACCCTTCACCTGCATGGTGGTGGGCAGCATTGCTTCTGTCAGTGTGTCCCAGTGCAGCTGTGGCTGCATACAGGTTGTGTAAACAAAACTTGTCCCTATCTTATCTCATACTCATTTATCTTGAGGTTATGAAATGAACTTTCTAATCTAGTAAGCAAATCTTCACCCTAAAGACTGCGTTTTAGCTCTGACCCTAAATGTGAAGGGATTGTTTCCGGATTGCCCTGTACACTATTCTTCGTATCACCTCTAACCAGCCTGAAGAGAAGCTTAGCACAGCATGACTGCTGCGACATTGTACTCCACTGGGGATGGTCTATTTAAGGTTATGTCTTGTGCTGGTTGATTTCAACATTTTCATTTATGTTTTCACCACAAAGTTGGAATTCGATCTTAACCGTACACACAGTACTCTCTTTTTATATGCTTTCCAAGTCTCCTGCATAGCTTGTGGCTCACTTATCTCCATGGGGCAGTTTGTTCATAAATATTTTCGACTAAGCATTTGTATTTATACTGAATCTGAATTATATACAGGTGAACCTTATTTACTCGTTATATGACAGGTTTCCATGTATAAGAAAGAAAGAAAAAAGAGCTGAAAACAGCTTCTTTCATCTCCTATTTAATAATTAGGTGAGATCTGAAGGC